AAGAGAGTGATTTTCTTTATTGTAACGAGGGTCAGGAGTTGCCCGGCATGTAGTCTTCTCTGACCCCTGGGCAAATAGGTGGGTTTCTATCCACTTGGGATAGTTTTTAGGCCATTGCTGCTAAACGCAGGGAGAAAGGCTTGAGAGTGTAGCATTTAAAGTTGAGTGACTTCCAGGTGAGTTGGGCCTGTCCACACCTGAGCCAAAGCTGGTGCTCTCAGCCTCTGAGATCTGGGTGAGACGCCTCCTGTGGTCTTCGGAGGCTTGGTGCTTACATATGATTGTATGAGGTAAAATGGAGATGGAAGAGTGGACGTTTCCAGCACCAGGGAAGCAGGGAGATCGTCTAAACTAAACGAAAACACTCCACCAGATAAACTACATAAAAATAAAACTGGGAACCACTGAGATTCTTGATACAGGCTTCACCCATCATGAACTATCTTTTAGAGTTTTCTTTGAAATAATATAGAATTTTATCTTACTGATGAATAACTATGTATATTTATGAAGGTAGAGTGTGGTGTTTTGATGCATGGACATGTTGCCTAATCACTAAGTTAGGGAAGTTACCAAATCCATCACCTCAAACAGTTACCATTTCTTGTCATAGGGACATTCAAACTCTTTGCTTTGGGTTATTTTGAGATATAAATATCATTATCATCATATACCATGTATCACATCATTGAATGTAGAGCTTTACTGTGTGACAATGTGTAGTCTCCAATTTCACAGTGACTTCATATGCATTGACCACTGTCCCCTCCATCTTGGCTTCCTCCTTTCTTCCCTAATTGTCAATAAGCACTATTTTTGTCAATTACCTTTTAAGAATATCTAGTTTATTTAAAGGAAAACCTGTTAAGGAGAAGCGTAGTGAATATAGTTTGGTGCCTGACTACTGATCAATGAGATGCTTGGCTGGGCCTTAGCAATTATTTTCCCCACTATTTGCTAGTAATTAGATTGGACTGGAAGCCTGTAGGTTAAGGATATAGGCAATACAAATTTTTAGAGAATTGTTGGCAGCAAATTCTGCTTTCAAATATGTAAGAAAGCTCTAATCTCTCTGTTTCACCTACTCATTCAGCCAATATTTATTGAACACCTATTATGTTCTACACACTGTTGTGGGTTTTAGGGATGCAGTTGTGTAAAAGATGGACCAAGCCACACTCTGCTGGAATGCATATTCTATGGGGAGAAGAGAGTAACAGTAGATGGAGCACGGGTAAGGCAAGAGGGGCTACGAATGAGGAGATGGTGGTTGCAAGGCCAGCAGCTATTTAGGTCGCGAAGAGCCTCTTCGACATAGCATTTGAACAAGTCCTAGATGCTGAGGGTTATTTGATTTGTGGATGATATGACAGATATTTCACCATTACCAGTCAGTACTCTGCTTATATGTACTGTTCTATGTGTATTTAGTAGCTCATATCTATTTTCCGGACCTAGATTACAAGAGTTTGAGATACGGGAAATGGGGAATTTTCAGGTCTTTCTAGTGAGTTATTTACTATTTTTATTATGATATTTTTACCTCAAGTTAAAGCACAAGCCCTTGAAACATTAAGCATAAACAATCATACTAAAGTGGTTACATACAGAAGCAAATGTATCCTGAACGCACCTTCTGTGTAGGCTTAAGCAAGCTGCTCTCAGAACAAACAAACAAACTGGAGTCTGCACATTTTAAAGAATATTCATTGAAAACCACAGGTACAGCCAGAGCCTTGCCTCAGACAATGAGGCCCTGCCTACTGCTTCTCTTCTTGGTGATTTGCATATCTTCTCACTGACAACTTCTCGCTTGGGTGGTTGAACAGCCATTGATGGTCCATGAACGATGATGGATAAAATTTCACTGGGATCATGTCACAATGCATGACTAGATACAGACCCAATCCAACCAAGCTGTGAGACAACTAGGAAACAAAACCAAGTGGAAGGAACACATACAGCACCGAGAGAAGCAGAAACCAGGCCCAGACTGTCTACTGTTTCAGATGGGCATCATTTCCTGTATGTTGCTACACAGACAGGCAGAGCCGTGCACCCAAAGTGCTAGACAAGCCAATGGGGAACAGGATACTACCGAAGACATTTGAAAAAATATGCACGTAGTTTACTGGATGTCTGGACTGTTTCACTTTTCTTCCTGTTGCTCAAGGAAGCCTCTCCTGGCCCCCTTCAGACCTCTATAGTTAGGGAGCCCTGGAAACCCAGTGAGGCCTATCCCAGATGGTGAGCTCTTGGAGGGGAGCGTGAGTATAGCCTTGCTTCCTGTGTCACATCAGAAGCATAAACCCAGTGCCCTTCATACTTGTTTGAGAGAATTATCCCAAGCGCAGTCTGCCCATGCATTTGGATATACATAATTCCCAACATATTTCTGAAGGCAATTTACATGAGTGAACCACTAAAAGCCTCCCACTTAATTAACTGTACCCCTGGGGAAAAGCTATGTAGGCCCGGATAAGTGTGGGAACAACATAAAGGTGTTCTCTGTGCCAAAAAGGGGATTGGGCTTGATGGAAAATCCCCAAAAAGGACCATCTGGCAGCATAAATTATCCATTTAAAGTGGCTGGTGTGAGCTAATGACACCAAAGTCGCCATGAACATGTGCAACATCCCTCGGTTGTGTTTTAATGTCCCCTCAGGCCCTGTTTCAATTATGACTTTCTATGCTGAATATGGCCAAATATAAATTTATCCACTGTGCTCCCCAGTCCCCACAAATATATGCCATGCGATTACATTTTTCTTTAACGAAACCAGGACAGACAATGGGCAATCCTTTCAGAAACACAATTTCTTTAAGAAGAAGGAAAGAAAAAAATCTCTCCATGTAAAGAGGATTTAACCAATAAACTTAGTATCTGATGAGTGCAAACGGGTGTGGGAACACAGATGTTAGGGTTTGTAACTATTTGACTCGTAATGTGTAGGTATGAACAGGAACCACTTTGAATGAGGGCTGAAGTATTCTGTTCAGTCAGCCCTCACAGTCCCCAAGTAAGGCAGAGAAGGGGAGGAGGAGGCTGGGAGAGCGGGGCTCACTGTGCAGGGCATGCAAGTATGGCACTCCAGTACAAATGTACCATACCTATAGATGGCAATTTTCACCAAAGCAGGAAAGCTAGGACTAACTTAAAGGGGAGAGCTAAAAAGTTTCCACCTCTGTTTTAATGCGCATGAGCCTTTTCATCAGTGCTGCACAGAGGGTATGGGTTACCGGCAATGGAAGTCAGCATTTGCACTCCTGCCGGACCGGCTTTGTTTCTTAGGCACGATCTAAGTGTGGACAAAGGTCAGGCGCCGCCTGCAGAGACAAGCAACCACACCTGGGACACTGCAGTGCTGTGGGCTTGAGCCGCCTTGGAAAGCAAGGGCACCAGCGGATCTCCTCGGCCCCGTGTTCCTCACGACACTGAGATGGCCCGCTCCGACTCCACACCTGCTCTCCATCCCCGAAAGTCACTGCCTCCCCATCTACCCTTGACTTCTCAGAAGCAACATCACACTGGATCCAGAAATTTCCACTGAGGATTGCTGAATGGGTGAACTGACGAGCTGCGTGAGGGCACTGGGCAGAAGGTATCACACAGGAGTTTCACATTTTCATAAAGGAGCAAGATTTTAAAAAAATACCCAGAACAGGGCTTGGGGGCTTATTGTTACTTGCTTTTAATTAGGATAGAATGCAACGAAGGCAGGGAGGAGGCACATAACTTCTGGGAATGCCAGACATTATATTGATTATGGAAAGTTCCATAATCAGGACCCAGATGGTTCCATCACCCTAAACTCTCCCTTCTGCGGCTCCCTTACAGTCATATAAAGCCATCTATAGCCATAGAGTTTGTATATTGAAACACTGTTGGGGAGGAGGAGGGGTGAGCTCTGAAGATGAGGGGCTAGTTCCAAGATTTTCTTGGTGCCCGTCTGTTCTTGAAGGCAGTTTACTTAGAGCCCGAAGTGGGGAGGGATGGCCGGAGAATTTGTTCTGTTTTATTTTTTCCCCCTCTGCATCACTCTGTGCTGGGTATAATTCTTAAGTGGACAATACAGATCACTTTACTTCATCCTCCAGAGCCTTGAAACAGCTATTACTACGGGCAGGTTGTGTTTGATGGGAAGGTCCTGCAGTCTGGTTATAACCACACAGCCCTGTCACTGACGCGAAGGCTGTACTTTAGATGATTCTCAAACCCCTCTATTCTCTTTTCCATCTGACTTGTATTGACTAAGGCATCGGAGCCCATTCCCCTCAGTCATGTGGAGGGCAGACATTAAGGTTTGACTTATATTGACGAAGGCATCGGGGCCCATTCCCTTTGGCCACGTGGAGGGCAGACAGTGAGGCCTTCAGAAGTCGTTGATATCAGAATTGCTCTGAGACTCTACAGCCACCACCTGACGACCCCAAGGTTTAGACCAACGGGAATGTATGCAGGTTAGTGTAGACTGACACAAAGGTGGCTGTGTTGTTTAAACAGCCATGACGACAGTCAGCAACAAGAAAAGGAAGAAGATATATCCCAAGTGTTCTTATGCTATAAAAACCCAATTGCCATCTGCAGCACAGGAGACTTGTTCTGCTTTACACTGCTATCCATACAGTGCGAAAACTGATAATTTTCCTTATGAGCACTAGAGTATACTTTAAAAACAAAGCAGAAGGTTTGTATATATAAAAGAAAGGAAACCTCCACCCTGGCTACTCAAGAAGCTGAGGAAGGAGAACACTTGAGCCTGGACTTGGGTCCACTATGGGCAACGCAGTGAGGTTGCAACTCAACGAGCAACCAAGGCAAAGTGAGAACACATGTGGACCCAGAGGGCAGGTGACAGCCCGTGAGCCAGACGACACACATTCGCATCTGCCTTTCACTTCGGTGGCGCCTTCTGCTCTCTGCCACCCTGCCATGACCGCGACACCGTGACGACATGCACATGCTGCTGCCTTCGCTTTCACGACTCTGCCCTGCTCACCTGGCTCCACTTCGTGCCATCCACTGGACTGACTGCCACTCCCCGGGGAGCGCCCTTGGCCTGTGTAAAATGGTTCTTCACCAGGGCTGTCCATTTCATCCTCCACAGACTTGAGGCGCTTTGTAGAGCTGAAAGAGAAAAAAAAAGAAATGTGTGTCTACAAGCATTCTGATCCACCTTTCTCCCTGATGCTTCATGGAAAGGTGTGCAGCTTAGGACCCTCCGCAGGCTCTTGTGGAGTTGGGCGAGTTACGGGATGTGGTGCACAGCCTTGGCCTATGCGTCCAAATGCTGCTTTCATCTTTACGGATCAAGTTGTTGCCACCAGCTGCATTCGGTGCCTTATTTTCATTACGGAGCTGTTGGCTGGCTTCTATTCCGGCTTCCCCTTAGGAAGCCCAAGTAGCTTATTTCCACAGATGTGGCTCAGAGCTAGCCATTAGCAGCATGCCTAGAAACGTCCTCAAACCCATGCAGAAGCCCCCGAAAGGTTAAAAGTACGTAAATAAAAAGCAGGGCTCATTATCCTTCTAGGAATGCTTTGGTTGCTCTGGGGTGGGGGTGGGGTGGCATTTTCCATCTTCACTTGGATTTGTTCATTAAAAAAGGAGATATTTACTACACATTTGTGCAGTCCAGATACTCCTTTAGGCACTAGAGATAAAATGCCAAGCAGAGTGACATAGCAGGGAGGAGTGCTTTGCTGTGAGAAAGGAAGGACATCGACACACAGTGGTCTACAGACTTTCATGTCCTTCTACACAGAGATGAACAAAATGACATTTTACTTCATTTGGGTGAAGGAAGACTCAGCTTCTGCAGAGGTTTGACCAAGGAACTTCCTCAGTATATCTCTTTCCTTCCAGCTGAAGAACTACTAAAGAGCCTTCTCGCTGTGAAGCTAGAGGGTTAGACGGTGGTGAAATATCTATCACCTGCTGCTTATTCCTGTTTTGGCTGACCAGACTGGCAGTTTGAGCAGCACACTGCCGAATGGGCAGATCTCCCGCTCTGGGAAGTGATTACTGGGAAATCTCTTGCCCACACATCAGGCTGCAGAACTTTCCCTGGGCTTCATTCATCAGGCACTGGCTGTGTAGCCTCTCCATGCCAGGGGCAGCACTCAAGTGTAGAAAAGTGTGGTTGGTAAGTCAGACATGGCTCTCCATGAACTGAGACGGAGAGGCTCTAGAGAAACAGAGATCGTGCACAGGCTGTGGATGAGAACGCTGGAACTTACACCTGGGGACTGAGAAGGACTTCTCACAGCAGAGGCGGCCCTGAGCTGTCTGCAAGGGCTAATAACAGAAAAGGAAATGGCTAGGGTCGGCTGGTACTCCACTAACAACTCAGGCACTATTATGATTTTTAAATATTAAATTTTAAAATATTAAAACCCTCTATATTTTTTGGCAAACTGCTCTTGTCTCAAGCTTCATAAGTCGGCATTTTCCTTTGCCCCATGATACGTTCAAGCCTCAAGATCTAAGAAGTTAATGTCTGGCCCCTGGGGTCACAGCAGAACCCAGAGTGACAGGGCAGCCCCCTCTCTCACTGCTGAGCTCACGGTAGGAGGGTCACTAGATACCGAGCATCGCCCCAAAAGCAGGCGCCTGGCGGCAGAGGCACAAGCCAGGTGTGATACACAGCAAATGGCTTCTGCGATGCTGAAACCAGTGGAGGGACCCACAGAAGAAGAGTGTGGATGTCAGGTAAGATGTCATCAGCCCGGACTTTATCCTACAAGCGATGAAGTCTTCTGAAGCCCTCTACACAGGTGTGTCATGGGGTTACATCGTGGAAAAGTGGCTAGTGAGAGCAGAAAATGGACTTGGGAAGGCAGCAGGAAAAAGGAGGTGCCATTACCTGGATAAGGGAAGATAATGCTACTGCCACAACCTGAATTTTAAAATGTATAGGACATAATTCAGGCAAGAGATTAAAATCATTCATGTGGCTGGTCCAATGTTCTTAGGTTTTAAGTTCTATTCTCATTTAGGGCAGATTATTCTTAAAGTTTGGTGAAAAATAACCACTTGAAAACCTTTCCTGTTTTATGTAATATGTAGCTAAGGCATGCCCTTTATTTGCAATTACATATACTACACACAGAAATTCAATTCCAATATATAAAAGGCAGAAAAGTCTATGTCTCTAAATGAAATTCTATTGTCTCTTTTAGTGGATAATATAAATGATCTAACCAATTGGTTCCCCTTCTTGCCTTGCAAGCAGGAAGCTAAGGGCCAAATTTAAAACAAATCTCTTGGTCAGGGTTCCTGAACTAATGAGTATCCTACTTTCCATATGGATCCTGGCTTCTTCTTCTACACTCAGTAACACTTGTATTTTAAAACTGTCGGCCACTTGAAATCATCTTGTGACTGAAAGTTAGGTGAAATCCCCTGGTGTACTCCAGTCAATCAAAAACCAGACTTGCGTGTTCTGGCAAGAATGAGAGTTGGGATGCGATTGTGACTTTTTTTCAGGGGTAATTTTGCTGTCTTGATATCCTACGATTCTTATATTACTACACCGAGTCTTACTTATCTGGAGGACAAACAGGCATAATCTGAATCCTACACAATTGACTACATGTTTTACAATGACATTTGTGATATCCAAGTATAGACTTGAGGTACTTACTGAAGCAAGTTCCTAAATGTGCTCAGGAGGCATAGGGACAGGCTGACATTACTCTGGGGATAGCAGAGTAACTTCCGAGGAGATTTCTGCATCTCCTGGTCTCCTAACCATCCTTCCCTAAACTCTTTATCTCACCCTACATGTGTACCAGGCTCTCACCACTTACCTGGCCCTGGATTCGACCCCGCCCCCACATACTGAGACTTCTAGAGAAAGTGACTGGCAGAACTTTGTGGTCTTGGGAACCAGAAGTACAGACGACATCACCAGAAAGTTTCACCTCATCTTGACTGACAACCCAAGAATTCTCCTCTTTTAAAATTATTATTATCTTTTGATCTTTAGTGTCTACTACAGTGTCAGATTATTTTAAGTGCTCAAATGCTTCTGCGAGCACATGTGACAAGGATCGGCTGAACATCTGTGTTCAATGAGATCCAGTCCCAGAGGTCAATCCCATGGCGTGTTGCTTTTCCATTGTTAATATTTTTTTCTGAGTTCCAAAGCTTCATTTTTTCTTGGGAGTGCTCTAATTAAATTCAGGCATGAACTGTGCAGGTGGGGACACTGTCTGGATACAGTTGATGCCTGAGCTTGCATATGAGGATGCTCGGGATGGACACAGCCTCAGCATCTGAAAGATGGAAGTAGAACAGGATCCAGGAGGGAGGAGAGTTGGCAGTGTTTGGAAGAATGGACAAGAGGCTTTTGGGATACAGTTTACTGACCCTATCTATGATCTGCCCACGGATGACTATCTTTAAAAAGTTCTGTAGAGTGAAGCTCTTGTTCTTATTTTTACCCAACTTTTCTATGATTTTGGAGGTGCTCATCCTGGAGTAATACAAAGTATATTGAAGTACCTTTTTTCTCAATCACCTTAGGGTAGGGAGTGAGATGCCTCCACAGGTAAAGTACTAGCTAGGTAAGCCTGATAACTTGAGATCCCCCTGGGAAACCCATGTAAAGGTGAAAGGAGGAACTGCCCCCCCACACCAGTAACAGATAACTAAATAAAGACATCCCAGGAAGAGGCCAACAAGAGAAAGCCAAACATTACTGAGTTATTAACTACTTGCAGAATAGGAGAATTAGCCTCTAAAATGACAGGCATCAGCCTTTCATCCACAGGTCACAGCATAAAGCCATAGAACAGAGCTTGGAGTATATGGAAGGACAGGAGGTAAGGGGCCCTGCTACAGAGGAACATGGGACAGTGGCTCACATATGAAAACAAGCCACCCATGCACTTTTAATTTAAGCACTGCCCATAAGTATTTACAAAGCTTTTATTGTTGACTGAGTGCACTGTCTCTTCTGCCAGCAAATTTTCAAAACCCTCCAAGTGTATTAACATCCAAATGTATTCACAATCCCTCTTGTCTGCTATAAATGCTTTTGGGATTTGAGACTTTTGTTTTCTTGTGGAGGTGAAACTGTAATGAACCAAGGAGGACATTTAAACAACGCTGAAGATGAAAGTCTAATACAGCTTGATTCATCTTCAAGTTGATGTTTAAGATACTGTTCATAATGGTAAGGTAGACTCCCACACCAGGGAAAATGTCCGCACTCTGGGCATTATTTTAAATCATAAAGGTCTGTACTTGCTTTAACAGAAATCACATTTGATAAATGTTTTCTTCCACAAAGTACACAAACATGATTGGCAGTCCTGCTCTGCTCCTGTCTTTGTTGTCACAGTCCAGTGCTAAAGCCAATTTGTAAAGGAACACCATGGCTCTGATGCCTAATCCCCTACCCGCGGTACAGGTTATCTGGAGACAGCAGGGTCTTGCAAAGTGCTTCTCCAGATGTTGCCTCTGATAGCTAACTAAGGGGATCAGGAAGCCTGGCGCTCACAGTAAGTAACTGTGCTTTCCAACTGCAGTTTTTTAAGGCCTCCTGGACCACCTGGGTCCAAAGTATGGCCCCATCCTGCTATCTGACATGCATTTCTTTTATAACCTCATATGAGGATATGAAATCAGTTGTATTTTTGGGAAACTTCAACGGAGTGGATTTGGTGACTTAGGACACCCAGCAGGCTGTGGCAGGGTGCTTAGGCCGGTGTCATCAACTCCCACCGAATGCCATTCAAGGCAGAGTACTCATCTCTTTTTCCCCAGTGAAATCCATCCATCTTTCCCAGAGAATATGCTGCTACATTCACCACTGCTCTTCTCCATGTCTTTGCTCATGTCCTCCCTCATCCAGATACCATGGCTGTCCTGCCTCACCTTAAAGCTAACCAGCATTCAGAGCCAAACACCTCACCCTTTTGGACAAAGCTGATTCAAATCACGCTTATTTCACCACATACAACTGAAGTAATTATTTTTTCTTACTGGAGTGTGTGCATGTGTGCGTGCATGTATGTGTGCGTGCGTGTGTGTATGTAACTTGCTGCTATTTGTCTCATGTACATTTTCTTTGGCTCCCTAATGAGACAGCCTATTGGGGCTTAACCCACTACTTTGGTACCCTCTTGGTTATAGAAACATTGCTACATGTCTAGCATGCTCGGAGTTAGAAGTCAAGGTGCGTCTTTGTGTGTTTCAGCCTCTTTAGAGGCCACCGGTCCAATTACCTGGTAGAGGATGTGCTGGGTAGAGACCTCCTCATTGCTCCTGGACTCATGCTGTAGTATGAAGAACTTTCCAAATCAGAGAGAGAAAAATTGGGTCCGGTTCCTGCAGCTATTGGTGCTAGAGAGAGTAAAACAAGCAAATCACAAGTTAAGTCCTGTGAATTCAAGATTGACAAGAATCTACATTAGTATAGCATGGAACACAGTGTCTGTTTGCATTTATCTGCAAAGCTTATCCAGAGTAATCACTAATAAACTGTGACTTCAAAGGAACAGTGACAATAAAAACAGTCTATACCACAAAGGCCTATTCTTTCTAACGTGCCTTTTATCTTTTTTCTTTTTTGTAACAGTAAACTGTCACCAAGCTTACGGCATTCCTGGATGGTTTAAATGAAAATACCTCTCATATTTTAGTCTTACATTTGTTTTTAAATGACTGCCTCAAATTTTCCCTAGGTTTTCTCACTTTGATCCCAACAGCTTCTTCTTATCTGTAGTCTGGAATTCTGTTTTGAGTTTTAAGGAGAGTGAATCCGTCCATCTGGGTCCCCATTTCCCACTCCGTGCGATGTGCAATGTGTGCATTCTCATTGCTTTGTGATGGCATGTGAGCTCCCTGCTCACATCTGTACCTTGAGGTCTACTTTCTTTTTGTTTGTTTGTTTGGGTTTTCTTTTGATGTGTGTATGAGTTATGTTTCACTGTATACACTGCATACTGCCATCAGAGCAAGAACTACAGCTACAATGGAAACCACATGACCTGGGGAGCCAAAGTACTTGCTGCACTTTATTGCAGATATTGCCAACTTCTGATTCAATTGCACTGACCTATTATCTTTATAGTGGACCATTTCTGAGATATGAGTACCTGCATTCTATGTCTTCATGCTTCTAGAGATGCCTTGCCTACAGTAGCTTAACAAGTAGTTTTGAATGTAATGAATTAATCACATCTGCCAATCTTCTTTGCAAACTGTAAATCCCATGGTGAGACTATCAATCCAAGAAGTCTTTTTGAAATATTATGTAAAAGCAGTATAGTCGATGTTTATTAATATATGTTGTACATAATAAGTCCATCAATACAGATAAATACATTCAACATGCTGATATCTATCAGAAGAAAAGATAATCAGGAACACCACCAGCCCAGATTTTACTTAAGAAATAATTTTGGAGCACTGCTATTACCAATAACTGCTGGAAGAAGAAGACATGCGGATCAGAGACGTGGTGATTGCCCATGAACACACTATGGGGGAACCCGGCAGATTGGGGTAGAGAAACTGATGCCAGGAGTGAGTGTTCAGCCCAGCCTGAGAAGAGGAGTCTCGAGGGAGTAAAAGGGTACCTGCTGAGGATGCTGAAAGGACAGCAGGGCACAGGCAACTGGGAGGAAAGGAGGAATTTGGGGAAGAGTGACTAGCCTAAAGAGAACAGGAAATGTTGACTGGCTTTCCAGCGCCTTTGTGTCACGGGACACAGTGAAAAAAGACATGCCTAACGTGGGACTCACAACGGATGGCTAAGGTTAGGTCATGAAGGATCCGGAATTTTTCTTTAGGAAGTACAGATTTGAGTCTGGAACACGACAGGTTTGTGAAGCCTCAATGCACTCACCGTGCCTGGGAAGGGAAACTATTGCAGTTAGATGTCCCTGCTCAAGCATCATCCCTGGCGGGCAGAGGCAATCAATAAACACTGGTCAAATGTGCAGGTGGCTATACTGAGTTTCTTTTTTTTCACCAGACAAAGAAGGGCCAGCAGCTTATGGGGAGGCCATCAGTTTTGCATTTACAATCTAGAAATATCTCTCACTCATGAGAGCAAGCATGGGAGAGAAGGGGTGGTTGAAGAACTGGGTTAGTAAAACCAGAGGCAGTGATGCCATTTAAACAAAAAGATGAGATGAGATGATACCAAAGGATGGCCAGGAGGAGCCAGGTGTTAGTGATAATCTGCCAGTTCACTGTGGCAGGAATGAGCACTTCTTAGGCTGTTTGCTCGGGAGGCAAGATGAATTGTATAGTACCTTAAGTGACTATGGAGTCAGAAGACACGAAGGAATAGAGCAATTTCTAAGGATGTGCACGGAATTGACTAGTAGCAATGACTCAATCTCAAGCATAGTTGTCATGTAAAAACAGTTCTTTACTAAGATATGGAAAACTGTAAACCAAACACCTTGTCTCAGTAACAGGCTTTAATAAAAGAGGGGCCTTTAGTCCATCTTGACAATAGTGTAAACAGATTTCCACTCAATAATGTTGCTAGTCGTTCTACCATTTGCTTTTGTATTCAATTTATTTGCATAATTTCATATTTTCTTCCACAATATTTTATGTATGAAATGGGCCATTATGCCGGATGGCCCCTGCCACTCATCATTACCCTAGCTGCTTGACAAATAATAATAATAATGACAGGTGCTCTTAAGGCTTTGTGCCTCCTGGAGCCTACAGTCATGTCTTGGTAACTAGAGAGAATGAAAAGGCCCGCCAGTGTCAAATGTGTGAATTTAGATTTCCTTCACACATTTGGTGGAGTTGAGGCCTTGTCTTGGTGGGAAAGCTTCCTCAGCCCTGAGCATGGGGGAAAAGGTGAGATCCTCCTGCAGCTGGACGCTGTAAGCAGAGTAAGTATGAGTGGCACGGCCTGACCTGGACTGAGTGGGGGAACTCCAAGGCATCTATACAATGGTGGACACTGGCACTTCCACGGAACACTTCATGTACTGTGTGATCTATCATAGGAAAATATCGTTTCCCTCTGTTATCTTTAAAAATAACAAGGGAGCCAGAATATGTGAAGGAAGGAGCATGCATATGTAAAGATAGTTCACTACCACTAAACAGATTTTAAAAAATAACTCCGCCCACATACACATTCCTAACGTGCCCTGTATTGACTTCCTGTGACCCATGTAGTTTGCAGTAGTGGATAGCCTGGTCCAAAGTGCTCAATGGACTCATGGTGAGAGATTTCAGAGACTGGCAAACAAACACATCTAAAATTTTAAAACATTTCTGAATCTGAAATGAGAACAAGCCTCTCAACCTGGGTTAAATAATCCTAACAATGCAGAGACCCACACTGTGCTTTCCATAAGAGGTCCTTGTACACACATGTTCCCATCACTGTCCAGGCTTACAGCCCATACTACAGGTAAGGTCACCTTGTGACCAGCAAGGAGAAGGTCTCATACCTAAGTGCAGGCTTCTTGTCACAATGTCACTATCACAAGCACAGCACCCTCGGAGCCTTTGATAAGCAACGAAGACAGAAGAGCAGAAGGAAACTGCGTGTAGACTTTTGGAGACCTCAGGAGACCACATGTCTAGGAAGTACTCTATCCATGTATCATAATAACTATGATAAACATGCAAGACTGGCCCCCATAGTTACCATCATCATCATCATACTCTTAATGCGGTTTTTCACGGGCCAGCAGCTAGGCTAAGATCCTTAAGCCTCTCCTCCCATTTAATCCTCACAGTGCCACTAGGAAGGAACCGAGGCACAAAGAGATGGAACGACTTCCCCAAGTCATGAAGACAGATCAGACCCCCTGACCTTAAGTCATCCATATCCCAGAACTGTCTCTGTGCCTCTACACAGCTCGCCACCCTTTGTGTAGACAGTTGAAGATCAATAAATATACTCCGAATTAAGGACATAGTTATCATCCCCATTTACCTCTCTCAGCTTGGAGCAAAAATGAAAGCGTATGCTATAAATATGCATAAGCAGAGAGGAAGAGGCCCCTGTTTCTTAAGCAATACTGCAATTACTCTAGCCTAAGCATCTTGGTCACCATGGAGTTTTTCTCAAAAGGTTGAACTTTGGAAACTGTGTCTTCAGATGTTATTTCTAAGTCATGCATCTTCCCTTCCCCCTCTTCCCTGTCATGAGTAGAACGTACTCTGTGTCATTTCTTAATAAATGGTTTGCTATTAAGGCATCATTATAGTAATGTGGGCTATTGGAAGAAAGGGGTTACTTCAGTAGCCAACCCTCTTGATGACCTGCTCTTCTGTACACATTAGCAGTTGGAGAGGGCTGTGGTTATTGAACTTCTGCCATCCACCAGAGACAATCTGCTCAGGGTTGCATTGCTGGAAAGAGAGGACTATGGGAAAAAATTCTACCCAAATTTCCAGGCTCCTCTTCCTGGGAGATGATGGTGCCGAGTTTATGGCTTGTTCGACAGGAATTGACAAGAAGCATTATCAGAATATCTGCCCATGTGTCCAGCCTACAGTTAAAGGCACACAGGCTGCATTTCATGGGACACAGTGTGTATTTAAAGAGCCCCTTTGGTACTTTAGGCATTGCTTCAGAAGCTTAAAAACAGTGGACCAGACATGAAAACATCTGCCCTTGAGAGGCTTACTTTTGAGGGAGCAGACATCACAGCTGACCTTCTCTCGGATCTGAATGCTCCATCTCCAACATTCACAAAGGTGGGGGGAACCAAAGGAATATGGGCCACAGATCCCTTCCAAAGGCTATGAGGACTCAGCATGCAATTTCTAACTTGCAAAATAACTATGAAAAATTAAGACATCTTTTTTCTTTCAATTGTATGATCAAAAACACTCCCAGAGAGTTTGGAGCTTACACTGTAGACTGGGGGCTGGGGATTCCAACAATAGCACACAGTTCTACGCTGGAACAATTTCATGTTGTTTTGCATTCCATTGGCAAAGGTCCTATAAGAAAGTCCATGTCACTGCCACAAAAGGAGCGAACATGGGAAAATACTTGTTCTTCCTTCCATCAAAGGCTCAGTTGTAAGACACACAATGCTATGAAAACTGGCGAATCTGGAATCATCGTTAAAGGAAATTAACTTGGAAAGTAATTTATGGCAAGAAAATCCAACTCCTTTGTTATCTCCCTTTTACTGTAATATGTTTCCTGAACACTGCCTAAAAGAGAGGGCTTTTAGAAAGAAAAAAATAAGTATAGTAAAATTAACTCATTTTATCAATTTGTGTTCTCTGCCGGAGTTTCCTGACTGTGGCTATGAAGGGCTGTAAAACTGATGAATTTGCATGGAAAAAGAAACCAGTGTAAGTAATTTGTGTAAGAGGTAACACGGACATAGACT